AGGATGTCGATGCTAGCTTCACTCAGCCCTTCCGAGTCACGGAGGTAGAGAGAGGCGAGGAGAAAGGACTGTCCCCCTGGGGGGTGAACGATGGCGGCGACAGCACGGCGGGGCCAGATTTCGCGAGCGCCCTCAGGGTGCAGCCCGAGCCAGGGGCGGGCAAGAACAGAAACGCAGCTCGAAGGGCACCCGCCTTCCCCGAGGGGGGCCCCTGGGAGCCAAATGGATTTCCATCCCTGGCTGAGGCACCGCGCAGCCGCAGAGTCTACTGGGTCTCCAGCCTGAAGCCCATGCTCTTGCACGAGCAACACGTGCGCAGAGCAAAAGGGGAAGTCGCTCCTTTACTGAGGCCCAGGCGTTCCCGTTTATAATCTCGACAATCATGCTAACATCTTCCGAAGGGGGGGGGGGGGGGGGGGCCTCGGGGGGGGGGGGGGGGGGCTGGATGGCTCGGATCGGAAGCTCTGGCGATACGAAAAGAAGGCATGCTGCTGGCGAGGTATCTCTGGCCTGGTCCAGCTCCTCGGCAACGAGCATCTGACTGAGAAGAGGACTGGCGCTTACAGATGCGCGAGCCCCCCTTCTCACTTACTTCCGTCAGCAGGGGGGGGGGGGTCCCATTGCTATTCTGGCCAGCAGCAAGCTCACGCGCACGTGCACGGACCTGGTCCAGGATGTCCATGGGGGCCGCGGCCGCAGCCGATGCAGGGCCCTGGGGACCCGTGTCTCCCATGCCCGCGTCGGGGGCCACGGCCCCAGCCCCGCCAACACCAGCCTGCGACCCCTGGCCCTCGTCCGTGCCCCCTCCAGCAGTGGCGCCGCCCTCCTCGTCGACTCGTTGCTTCTTGGCCGCCAAGCGAGTGCGCAGCTGCTGGTGCGCCGCCTTGGCCTGCTTGGCCTGGTCCACGGCCTTGGCGAAGAGGTCCTTCGCCAGCCCGCGGATGGAGGCCATGAGCTCCTCCTTGCGCTTGGCGGCCTCGTTGGCATCCTGCTCCTCCATGGAATCGTCGGGGCCGATGTCCAGCAGGTCGCCCATGTCGAGATTGAAGCCGTCCACTCTGTCCTCCAAGAGGTCGGCCAGGGCGATGGCGGGACAACTGCCGGCCGTACCGTCGGAGACCTTGGGCTTGATGGCCTTGACTTTGTCCGTGAGTTCAGCGTGCACCCTGTCAAGACCCTCAAGCTCTCGAGCCATGGTGAGAATGAGAAGTTCTTGAGCACGCAGCTTCGCCTGCATGTTCTCCATGGCCTGAAACTCATGCTGCATACGTTTGCCAAGCTTGTTCCTCTCCCGCTGAGTGCGCGCCAGCTGCTCCTCCAGCGGCTCGTCGCGCTTGGCGGGAGGCCTGCGAGCGTCGAGCATGCACTGGGAGCGGCGCGCCTCAGAGAAGTTGCCGACCTTCTGGTGCGGCGCCAGGAAGGACTCCAGCTCAGCGATGGACAGTTCGTGCTCGCGGGGGGCAGCAGTCGGGCCGCCAGGCCCAGGGCCGCCCTGAACGGGTCCAGGAGGCAGCGCTTGACGATGGAATTGGCCCGGGGGAGAGCCCCACAGCCCCTTGCCGCCTCCGTCAGACCAGCCACCTCCCTTGCACTTTCCCTTGCCCTTGCCGAACTTGAAGTCTCCAGCGCCCGAGCCCTTACCTCCACCGCCTCCGAAGCCTCCGTGCATGGCGGGAGGTTGGGGGCCAGGGGGAAGCGCAGGGAGAGCACCGCGACCAGCCCAAACGCCAGCAGGCGGGCGAGCTGGAGAGGTCGAGGGAGCCGTCCACGTCATGCCGCAGTGCTTGCACCACGGAGTAGATGTCTTGTTCCTCCTGCAGCCGCACGCGCTGCACTTCCATGTAGTAACACGCTGGGACGGGCGGCCCGTGCGCCAGGGGGGCGTCTCGCCCTTTGCCGGGTAGCCATCCATCCGCGCGCTGAGGGAAAGAGGTCCCTCAACCTGAGTGGGAAGCGAAAAGCGATGTCACGTGTCAATGGCCCGCAACAGCACAGCCGTTCTGAAGTTCGCTGCTGCAAGCCCTGAAAGGGCCAGAACGGCTAGGAGGAGGAGGAGGAGGAGGAGGAGGAGGAGGAGGAGGAGGAGGAGGAGAAGGAGGAGGAGGAGGAGGGAGAGGAGGAGGAGGAGGAGGAGGAGGAGGAGGAGGAGGAGAGGAGGAGGAGGAGGAGGACGGGTCGCCTAAGCTCTTCGGAGAAACCCTCCAACCCTACCCCCACCCCCAACGATTTCTAGGGGGTCACTTCGTTCGGGAGCTCCCGAGCCAACTGAACCCCGACCCCCTGAGAAATCGTGGGGCGTGGGGGTAGGGTTCACGCGTGGTCACCGAACGAATCGAGAAATCGGATGGGATCTCGTGTCGGACCGAACCGCGTCGGCACGCAATCGGGATCGAACCCAGTCGACCGCGCCAGGACGTACACAGCGCCGTGGAAGCATCGGGCCACCGAGGAACAAATGAACCCGTCGCAGCCCCGGTCAGGGTCCGCTTTCTTCCGCAGCCATTCAAAGCTGTGCGAAGCAATGCAAAGCAATGCAAACAAATGCAAAATCAAGTACAGCTTGGCGTGGCTTGGCATTGACTGGAACCGTTCCTTGATATTTGCTTGGCGTTGTTTCGAATTGCTTGGCAATGCTTGGCAGCGCTTGGCATCGCAAAAACTGGGGAACCCAAAAAACAACCAGGGAACCGAAGAGGGACCCGGGAACCCAAAAAACAAGACTTGGGAACCCGAGCAACGCCAGAAGGAAACCAAGACCAGCGAGCTGAGAGACGCCGAGGCCCGCCTCTGACAAGTAACGCCGCATCCACCTGTGCTTTCACAACATGAACCCGGCGCGACCCCAACTAGTGGGCTGCTTCCTTAGTTAGTAACTGAACAAAGATGGCATTACTTTACATTGCTTGGCGTTGCTTGGCGCTGGTTGGCGTCGCTTGGCATTGCCTGGCATTGACCGGCACTGATTGGCACTGATTGGCACTGCTTGGCATTGTTTCGCATTACCTTGTCATTGCTTGGCATTGCTTCGCCTTACTTGGCATTGATGAGCAAGGCTTGGCATTGCTTGGCCTTGATTGGCGTTGCTTGGCATTGCTTGGCGCTACTTGGCGTTGCTTGGCGTTTCTTGGCGTCGCTTGGCATTGTTTGGCACTGCTTGGCTTTGCTTGGTATTGCTTAACAGCACCATGGCTTGGCACTGCTTTGTATTGCTTAGTTTTGCTTCACACTGCTCAGCATCACCTGGCATCGCTTAACATTGCTCGGCATTACTTAGCATCGTTTGGCATTACTTAGCACTGCTTGATATCATCTGTCATTCCTCTGCATTGCTGGACGTTGCTTCGCTTCACGTGGCATGCTGGGCACTACTTGGCATGTCTTCGCACTGCTTGGCATTACTTGGTTTTGCTTGGCGTTGAGTGGCATGCTGGACATTACTTGGCAATGTTTCGTATGTCTTGACGTTGCTGGGTAATCCTTGGCATTGCTTGGCATTCCGCCACCGCGCCCCCTGGCATGTTGAGGCGTGCTAGAATGCCAAGAGCTGATGAGGTTTTTGTAATATTCTAAAGGGGCCCCCTTCTGGGTCGCGTGGTGTCGCGTGCATCGCCCATGCTCCCGGGGGGTCCCTGGGAGGCCATGGCGCCTCCCTGGGGCTCCCCAAAGCTTCCATGACGGCCCACCTCCTCTGGCTCTCCCCTCTCCCCTGTCCTCCTCCTCCTCCTCCTCCTCCTGCTCCTCTGGCTCTCCCCTCTCCCCTGTCCTCCTCCTCCTCCTCCTCCTCCTCCTCCTCCTCCCATTCCTCCTCCTCCTCCGTCTCCTGCCCGCAATATCCTTCTCATAACCGTCGCCCTCAATCTTGCTCTCCTTCCAAGTCATCCTTCCACGGGCTTCGATTTGCGTTTAGCACCACTGCGGAGCCCATCTAGCGTCATTGTAGAGTCCATCTCCGAAATGGTCACCCGAACGGGCATCATTCGCACGATTTGCATCTCTGTACTTTTCTCGGCGCGAGCGACATGATCAGTCCTCACGGAGAAAATCGGCTTCGGCAAAGTCTTTTGGCAAGTGCCGCTGCGGTGATAGGCCTGCCAACTGCGCGCCGTGACACCAAGCTTCGTGCAATCCGCGCACACCACGCGCTTATGGTCCGTCTTTCGATGTTTTCCACTCGTCGAATATTTAAGCGTGTCGTATCCGCGAAAACTGCCCCACATACCGCGCACGTCATCGGTTTCGATTCCGCATCTGCTTTCCGCTTGCGATTGCTTGCCTTTCGCATCCACTTGATCGCTCTTTGCTTGGAATCTCTGGGCCCACGCAGAAAACATCCCTCTCATCCCTCTGTACTCCTCCAGGCTCCACCACCTCCCCCTCGCCTACATCGACACCATCACTAACGCCATCACCATCAGCACAGCATCATCACATCACCCTGGGCGCCCCCAACGACCAGAGGACAAACATCACATCTAGGGGGGTCGGCGGATGTGGTGAAAGCCTGTAGAATCCATTGTTTTTGCGTTTCGAATGCCTCTTGGGGTCTTCTTTGGGTCGTCTTCGGGCGTCTGGTCGGTGTCTGGGGCCTCTGTGGGCTCTCGCGGGGCCGTTCGGCCGCTGACCGATGTGGGCCCGTTGCCTCGGCCCAGCAGGGGCTTCAAGAGCCCCGAAAAGCATAGGGGACCGTCTGCAAAGGCGTCCAGGATTCCCCTCGGGCCAAGGATCTGGGGGGTCCCGTATCCTCTCTTGGACCCGCTCCTCCTCATTTTTGGGTATCATCCGTCTCATCTCCTCCTCCTCCTCCTCCTCCTGCTCCTCCTCTTCCTCCTCCTTCCTCCTTCTTCTGCAGGACCTCCTCCTCATTCTGCTGCACTTCAGCACTCTCCGCCTGCTGATGCCGGTCTCTTCTCAAGTCTGGTGGATGACAGGGCGCTGCCATGGAATCAAGGCTTGGAGTGGAGACTTGCCTGGGAACGGTCATCATCGCTTCGCTGGGTCTGTCACATCAGCCGCTGCACTACCAGCTGGTCGATGCTCAAACCAAGGTTGCGGTAGTTCTCGCGGCCCATGATGTTCTGGCGGGAATGCTGCTCGAACACCCCTCGCCTTCCTCCTCCGCATCCAACTCCTCATCCTTCTCGATTGTCGTCATCACGTTTTGTCATCATCACCATCATCGTCGTCATCACCCTGGTCGGCGTTACGACTGACAAGTCGACCAACACATTTCACACTGTACGACAAGCTAGAACCTCCACCAAGTGTAAATGCACCAACTAACATGCAATTATACACATACGTGCGTGTCTATATCCGCCAACGTCCTCACGTCCCTTAGTCCTCTGTGCGGAACAATGCTCTTGAAGGGCCCCCAAACAAAAACTGGGCGCTCTCGGGCGCTTCTGGGGCTTTCCGCGTGTTGTCGGATGTTCCCGTGTTACTTTTCTGAAGGCCAGAGGGCACCAAAGCGGACCTAGCGGGCCCCTAAGAGGCCTCCAAGACGGTCCACGAGGGCCCCGAGTCGCCCCAAGATCTTCCCCAGGCTCCCAGGATGGCCTCAACACGGCCAGAGACGCCCCCAGGACCCCCCGGAGAGCCCCAAGAGCACACCCACGAGGGCCCCAAGAAGCCCAAATCACCTGTTTCTCTGAGGGTGCGGACAGGTTTCAGTGTTCTCCCCTTCTCGGGCGTCCAGGGCTCCAAGACTGCGCAAAGGCCGCCAAGATCGCCCAAGACGGCCCAAGAGTTAAGTCGGGCATGTCCCCCTACAGGCGGACTTTAAACATACCGTAAAATGCTCCAAAATTGAAGAAAAATGCTCAAACAAACGTCCTAGTTTTGAATATTCCTCCTGTAGAGGGACAGGCCCGACTTAACCCACGAGGCCCCAAGAGGGCCCAGACAGCCCAGCGAGAGGGGCCCAAGATTGAGAGGCCCCCTGCGTAAAACGGCCCAAGACTGCCCCATGGGGGGCCCCAAGAGGGCGCGCGTTGGGGGCCTCCTGGCCTGTCTTGCAGCCATCTGGGGGCGAGATGCCGGCCTCTTGGGGCCCTCTCGGGGCTTCTTGGAGGCCTCTCGGGCTGACTGAACGCCATCTTGGGTGCTCATTTTTATATAAAAAAGGTATACACTTCTCGATGTGTGCGTGTCGTCCTGGCGCAGGGGCCATGCTAATCTTCTCTGCATCGTTCCGAAGTTAACGGATGATCCCCGAAAGAAATCCTACGCCACCATGGGCGCTCTTGGACCGCCATCGCGCTGGTCTCGGACACCTCGGGCCTCCGGGAGGAGGGCACGTGGAATGTAAAGGGGAAGGGGGGGGGCGGGCGGGCGGGGGCCCCCGGATGTCCCATGCATGTATACAGCAGGAGCTTGACCACAAGAAACCCTCCACAAGAAACCCAGCCTTGAGACCCCAGGAAGTCCATTGATTGTTGGTGTGGGGACGTCACGCTTTCCATAGCAGAACCATCGAAATTCAAGAAACCCAGGGCACCCTGGAGGCAAGCAGGGTGCTTCTTGGCATGGGCTTCCACTGTATGTGCACACGCCTCTTATCTTCGATTCGGGTCATGATTGTGATTAGGTCGGGCATGTCCTCGAACAGGCGGTCTTTCGAGGAGAAATGACAAAACTCCAAAAATACCCCCAGATAGTCAAGAACGGTCGGAAAATCGTCCCCAGCCTATTTTTGGACTGCTTGGGAGATTCCTCCTGTAGGGGGAAACGCCCGACTTAAGATTATGTTGCTCATCAACGATGATGGGCCTGTTTTCCACCACCACCACCACCATAAGTTGGAGGGGGGAAGTAGGAGGAGGAGGAGGAGGAGGAGGAGGAGGAGGAGGAGAAGGACTCCCTCCCCCTCCAACTTCTGATGGTGGTGGTGGTGGTGGAATACAGGCCCATCAAACGAGCGGCGCTCGCATGTCACTTAACAACTAGCAATGCGAGCAAGCGTGTCCAGGTCCAGCCCCTCCGGACGGGCCTGCGGGCCCGCCCGGAGCATCCGAGCAGGCTCCCCGTTCCCAGGGAGATCAAAGCCCAAGCACGCCTGCGAGGGACAGCCCCTGACCCCGGCGCCCCTGGGAAGGAGGGGAACCTTCCCGCCGCCGTAAAGCAAGAGCGAGCCCGAACTGTGTCGCTCATCCCGTCCTGGTGAGCGTTTTCTTGTTCGGCGTTTCACCACTGGGCGGAGGGGGGGGCGGAGGGTGGCGGGTCTGGCTCCAGACCCCTGCTTACTGCGACTGTTTTTGCAGCAGTGCGTCCTGTGGGGGAGAGACTCCTTCTGCTCGAAGCAGGCGCCAGAAACAGCCATCGTCTACCCCATGCGGGGGGGGGAAAGGGGGTGCGAGGGCCCGAGCCGATCGGCAAAACAGTGGACAAGAAACGATCACCTGCGAGCCTGGCCAGAACTGTCTGGGATGTCTGGCCTCGAGATCCAGCCGGCGGGAGTGCAGGTGGCGCTCTCTCAAGCTCTCCCCGGGAGGCCCTGGCCCCCGGAACTGAACCGAGGTGCGCGAGTGGTCAGACGGTGGTTGCTCCTTGCACACGTGGGCGGGGAGCTTGCCCCTGCCATCACGGCCGACCCTGTCGGCGTGTGGAAGAGGCTGTTCCGTTCAACTCGTCGTCGTCTTCGTGGCCGTTGTTGTTGTTGTCGTCATCGTCGTCGTCGCCTTCGCCGCTCCCCTCTCCTTTCCCTAGGCCCGTTCTAGTTTGAGTCGAAGGGAAGCCCCTTCCCTTTGATCCCTTCTTCGCCAGGGGGGGGGGGCGCGGTCCCAGGGGGGGGAGCGGGGGGGTCCTGGGGGAAAGGGTCCCGGAGAGGTCCCAGAATGTCGCCACCCAGATGCAAGTCCCCCTCGGGGGGGGGTCGCCATCAAGATAAGACTCCCGCCTGGGCGGTTCGGGGGCGCAGAAAAGCCCCAAGAACGCAAAAATGCCTCAAGATGCCCCCAAGACGGTGCTCGAGGGCCCCGAATCCCCGAAGTATCGGTCCAAGTCGCCAAAGTAGCGTCCAGACGGCCCAAAAGGTTTCTCAAACACCCCAAGAGGCCTCCAAGAGGACTTCCAAGAGGGCCCCAAGGGGCCAAAATCATCGAGTTCCCTCAGGGGTTTGAAAGATTTCGGCATTCTCGCCTTGTCAGCTTCCCGACGCTTCAAGACGCGCCCAAGACCGCCCCAAGATGGCCCAAGAGGCCTCCAAGAAGCCTCCAAGACAGCCGAAGAGGCCCCCAAGACAGCTCCAAGAGGGGGGACCGGAACGGTCATTTCGAGCAGTCGGCCCGAGAAGCTCCCAGGAGGCTCCCAGAGGCACCTAAGAAGCCCCCCAAGAGGCCCCAGAAGGCCCCCAAGAGACCTCCAGGAAGCTCCAAGAGGCCCCCACGAGGCTCCCAAGCGGCCCCCAAGAGCCTCCCAAGAGGCCCCAAAACTACCCCCAAGAGGCACCCGAGAGCGCTCGTTCGTCGTCGTCGTCGTCGTCGTCGTCGTCGTCGTCGTCGTCGTCGTCGTCGTCGTCGTCGACAGACCCAATGAAATTGAGAAACAAGGAAAAGAAACGGAGAAACGTCGGTTTTCAGTCAATTCCCTTCCTTTGCTCCATACCCTCTCGGGGGGGAGGCACAGGGGGGGTGGGGAGGTAATTAGGGGAGGGTCTTGAGTCAGAATACCGTCCTCCCCCCGAGATCCCGGCAGATCCCAGGGGGGGTCGCCAGCGGGAGTCCTGGGGGAGGGCCTCACCTGGGGGGAGGGCCTCAAGGGTCGGCGGCACCGACTGCAAAGCCTTCGCAAGAAGGATGAGGTAGAATAGGGTGGGGTAGAGTAGAGTAGGGCAGAGTAGAGCCGAGTAGGGCAGATGGTAGAGTAGAGTCGGGAAGAATAGTGTAGAGTAGCGCCGTGGAGTAGAGTCCACCCCAGCCCGGTCCAGTCTACTCCAATCCTTCATACTTCGGACCACTCTGGTCCACTTCATTGCAGTCGTCTGATCTAAACAAGGAAAACGCGCCGATTGGAACAAAAAACATATCGTCGGATGTCTGGGACGGCGCCGTCCTCCAACCCTTTCTTCACAAACTTCTCGTCCACACCGCGCTGGCGGGCGTCCAGGAGGAACTCGAAGGCCTGCCGCGTGCAGCGGGAGGGGAGCCAAGAGGCAGGGTCGCGCTGAAGAATGCGCCGTCGCGAAGCGTGGGCACAATAACGTGGGCAAACCACGGCGCAAAATTATGGTAACTCCTCCGCCTTCGCGGAAACTCACCGGCCCCCAAAGCCGTCTGAAAAACTACTCAGGATGAAAAGCAGGGGGGGGGTCGAACCCCCCCCTCTGGAGGGGTCGAACCCCTCTCCTCTCTTTGGTGGCAGGGGTCGATTCTGGGGGGGTTGTTCCTGAGTGTGTGTGTGTGTGCGTTTGTGTGTGTGCGCTTGTGCGTGACTGTGAGTGTGTGAGTGTGTGTGTGTGAATGTGTGTGAATGTGTGGAAATGTGTGTGAATGTGTGTGAATGTGTGGGAATGTGCGGAAATGTGTGTGAATGTGCATGAATGTGTGTGAATGTGTGCGAATGCGTGTGGATGTGTGTGAATGTGTGTGAGTGTGTGAATGTGTGCGAATGTGTGTGAATGTGTATGTGTGTGGACGTGTGTGTCAATGTGTGTGTGCGTGTGTGTGAATGTGTGTGTGCGTGTGTGTGTGAATGTGTGTGAATGTGTGTGTGTGTGTTATTGTTTGCAAGCGCGCGTGTTTGTGTGTGACTGTGTGTGTGAATGTGTGTGAAATGTGTGTGAAATGTGTGTGAATGTGTGTGAATGTGAGTTATTGTGTGCGAATGTGTGTGTGTGAATGTGTGTGCGAATGTGTGTGAATGTGTGTATGTGTGTGAATGTGTGTGAATGTGTGTGAAAGTGCGTGAATGTGTGCGAATGTGTGTGAATGCGTGTGTGCGAGTTTGTGTGTGAATGTCTGTATGTCTGTGTGTGAATGTGTGTGAATGTGCGTGAATGTGTGTATGTGTGAAAATGTGTATGTGAATGTGTGTGCGAATGTGTGTGAATGTGTGTGTGAATGTGTGTGTGAATGTGTGTAAATGTGAGTGTATGTGTGTGATTGTGTGTGAGTGTGTGTGTGTGTGAATGTGTACGACTGCGTGTGTGAATGTCTGTTTGTGTCTGGTGTGTGTCTGTGTGTGTCTGTGTGTGCCTTTGTGTGCCTGTGTGTGTCTGTGTGCGTGTGTGTCTGTGTGTGTGCGTGCGTGCGTGCGTGTGTTTGTGCGTGTCTGTGTGTAAGTGTGTGTGTGTGAGAAATAGAGAGAGAGAGAGAGAGAGTGCAAGTGTGTCTAAGTGTGTGGAGCTGTGGGAAAGTGTGTGAAGGTATATGTGTGTGTGCAAATGTGTGTATGTCTGTAAGTGTGTGTGTGTGTGTTCAATTGCGTGTATGTGCAAATGTGTGTAAGTGTGTGTAAGTGTGCGCGTGTGCAAGTGTGTGTGTAAGTGTGTGTAAGTGTGTGTCTGTGTGTAGGTGTGTGTAAGTGTGTGTGTGTGTGTATGCGGGGTGCTTCCTGGTCATGAGAATGTTGGGAGTGCTTCCTGGCCGAGCAAGCCTGGAATTGGTCGGGCATTTCCTCCTACACGCGGATCTTCAAAAACAAAAAAAAACGTATAGTCAAAACATACTCTCTGCATGATCCGCCAGCCCCCTTGTGGGGCCACCAGGCTGTAGGCCGAAGTGTGCTGCTCCCTGCAACAGTTGCAGTCTCAACGATCCAATATTACAGCCCTGCTTGCTGTTTCCTACCACAACTTGTTGAAATCCGCGCGAGGGGGGGAGCTCCAAACCAGCTGGTTACCAGACCCGGATCGCGTTCCCTGAATTCCCGAGGGAGCGTGGGACACGTAAAAATACTTGAAAGTCGCGCCCCCGAATCTAGAATCCTTCGTAAATTACGCGATGTTCGCGTTCCCGAGGCCGCAAACCGTTGTAAATTACACCATGTTTGCGTCCCCTGGGCAACAAACCCTCGTAGATTATACAAGATTCGCGTCCCCGAAACCATCAACACTCACAAGTTGCGCAATATTCGCACTTCCGAAACCAAGGATGCTCCAAGGCGCCTGAAGATAGTTCCAAGACGGCCCAAGAGGGCCCAAAACGGCCCCAAGAGCGCTCCAAGAGGCCTCCCGAGAGCCCTAAGAGGCCCAAATCGTAAACTGCACGAAGGTTTTTTGAAGAGTTGTGGCCCTCTCGCATTTTCGGCTGTCCGACGCTCCAAGACAGCTCAAGAAGCTCCCAAGACCGCCCAAGACAGCCCAAGACGCCTCCAAGAGGGCCCCAAGACGGCCCAAGAGGGCTCCAAGATGGCCCAAGAAGCGCTCAAGACGGCCAAAGAGGGTCCTAATACTGTCCCAAGAGGGGCCCAAGCAGGGGACCACGAACCCCAAATTAGATAATTAGCATGTTAGGCAGCTCCCCAGGGCCAGATGATGCAGTTTTGAGAAGACCGAAGGAGGCAGACGTGTGACAGCAACACGTGGACGCCAGCAGCTCGAGGCTTCGACAGAGCACCCGAGGCAAGTTGGGTGGAACAAAAGTGCAATCGAACACAGGAGAGAGAAAGAGGGAGGGAGGGAGGGAGAGCTTGAGCCGACACAAGTACGGCCCTTCTGCGCTGCTGCACATGCTTCACTATGTAAAATATAACAGCATGTTAGGCAGCCCCCCAGGGCCAGATGATGCAGTTTTGATAAGACCGAAGGAGGCAGACGTGTGACGGCAACACGTGGACGCCGGCAGCTCGAGGCTTCGACAGAGCACCCGCTCCCGAAAGGCGGAATTGGCCGAAGGCCGCAGATCAAATAGACTAGAGACCAACAACCGAATTCACAACACCTTAGGACACTCCCCACAGGTGCGCCAGACGCCTGGACTGGACAACATGGGCACTCTCGATCATCTGAGCAGCTGCTGCGCGCGCAAAGGCGGGCGGATACGAGGCGGCCAGGGCAGTGTAGTGGACGCCCCCTGGGGCTCTGCCGCTGAGCACGAGGTGGGGGCGCCGAGACCTGGAGCATACACGCCCACACGGGCAGCATTTTTGACTGATGTGATATCTGGAGCCTCCATGCCACGCACAAATACGGGTAGGCTTCTTCCAAGACGTGCCATACTGGCACATGTGACAGGTGGAGGAGGAGAACGAGGTGAGGCGGGAAAGGGCCAAAAACCTAGGAGCCTGCCACATGAGAGAAGTCAGAGGGTTCTCCAGAAAGACTGGTATCCCGAGAGAGGCGCACAGCTCGATAACCCTGCACGTGAAAAGGAAAGAAGCGTTTCCGACTTTCAGCCGTGACGCCTCAGCCGAGGAGAGGCCATCTAGACCCATGGGGGACTCGGGAGACCTGAGAGGCTTGCGCAGGGCGCGAGTCCAGGACGTGCACGGGGTGCCCAGCCACACCCCGATCACCGCCCGAGACTTCACCCCGCCCGAGATCCTCCGCTGGAAAGTGAGGGACAGATGGTTCTCTGCCAGCCCGTTGAGAATGTCAAGCGAAAGACAGGCGAAGCCAGCTTGTCGAAGCTGATGGCCGATACGGCCACACCCAGCAAAGAGTTCTAAAAACAGACACCGCATGCGCCGGCGTGCGCCTCTCAGGGCACGCTCGAACTTCTGAGTGAGATGCTGCTCTACGACGCTGGGCGAGCCAATCACCGCCGGGCCGAGCGGCCGCCGGCCGCAGTCCGCCTCACGGTCGGCGCCCCGCGCAGGCACGCCTGGAGGCAGTCCGGCACGGCGCTGGCCAGCGGCTGGACCAGGAGCCCGCCCTGCAGGACGGCAGCAAAGTGCGACTCCACCAGCCTCCCCAGCTTGTACACGTCGCCGTGCACATGGGCCATCTCCGCCAGCAGCTTCGTCTCCTTCGCGTACCGCTTCATGGAGCTGGGGGCCTGCCACCGCCCCCGCCTCTGCGTCTCCGCGGGAGTCCGCCGGCGCGTGGGGATGTCCTCTGACGCCCCCCCGCGCCGGAGGCTGTAGAGGTGCGGCGACAGCGCCTGCAGGCCCAGGGCCTTCACCGCGCGGCTGAAGTGGAGCCGGAGCTCCGTCGGGCTGAAGGACCAGAGCAGCTGGTCGTTGGCCACCGCGACTTCAGCGCCTCCAACGGGGCCTCCAGCCACCGATCGAAGTCGATGACCACCGACTCCTCGAACAGGTTCGTCTTCCCTGGCTGCTGGGACTGGAGGTCGTGGAGGAGGAGCCCCCGCCTCGCGTACTGCGGCCCCGCTGCCGGCGAGGGGCGGATCAGGTCCCGGCCCTTCAGGCGGAAGCACTCGCACGGCCTGAGGTAGCAGCTGGACGTCAGGGCCACCCACAGCGCCATGCTGGGCCTCCCTGCACAGGCCAGGTGGCCCGCGATGGCCAGGGCAGCCGCCTTGGGCAGTGGGCAGCGGGTCCGAGGAGGGGCCCGCCGCTTCCATGCCACGGCGCAGCGGCAGCTCCTTGGCAGGAAGCCCCCGGCCGCGCCCTGCAGCTCCGGGATGAAGTACGCCATGGCCGCCAGGAGCTGGGGGCCGGTGTCCGACGCCTCGCCCGCCACAAACAGCGAGTTCATGAAGTCGCAGAGGTGAATGTCCAGCTGGGTCCAGGTGGCCCAGTCCCTCTTCGTGTCGATGCAGAACGAGTGGAACCTGAGGGCCAGCCGGCGGCACTGCGCCTCGGTCACGGGCCGGGCCGCCACTCGCTCCAGGGCGGACAGGCCGAGGACGGGGCGGCTGCTCGCCACCAGCGACGCCGCCAGCAACGCCCGCTGCTGGGCCAGGGCGTCGGCAGCCGCCCTCCGCCGCCGCGGGGCTGCGGCTGGCCGCCGCTTGGGCGCCATCCGAGGCCGACGGCGGAGATGCCGCCGAGGCACCCTGGGCTCGCGGAGCCCGCTCCCCTGAGAACCAGCCCAGACGGCCTCGAGAGAGGGAGTCCGAGGGGTTGAGCTCAGACGGGACCCAACGGACGTGGATGCGGCTCCCGGCGGCCAGGCCCAAGGCAGCCAGTGTCCGAAGAGGTCCCCGAAGATGGACCGAGCGGGCCCTGCCTTTCGCGGCCCCAAGGGGCAGGGGGAGGTCGTCGACGAGCACGAGGAT